GGCATCATTGATGGACTCAAGTGTGGTAGCGGTAGTGAGGTTGGCCCAGGATCGGACATTGTTTCGTTCTGCTGTGCATGGGGTTGCTATGAGTCGGTTCCGACTCGATGGCACCTGACAACAACAACAACCCCCCATTTTGGGTAGCCAACATCTATGGTGCCCATCACTGTCAATCCTGTGTACAGAGGGGATGGGAATGACCCTTGCTGTAAAGATTCATTCCCTCTTTTGAGCTACTACACCTGTAAGTATAGGTTAAGTTCATCAAATTATAGTGGATTATACTTTTTCTCTCTTCTTTCTTCTTCTAGTTGAGTTCTGATCATCCAGTCATTGAAGCTAGGTCAAATGGGTACTGTCTGCAAGTATGGGTGTTCTTATGCATTTTCCTCAGTATTTTATCTCTGTTCCCTTACTCTAACACTTCCTCATTTATTGATTATCTCGCTATCTGACAGTCTGCATTTACAACAATAGTAAAAAAAATCTATTTAAATCACTTGAAAGCCAGGTAAAGCCCATATGTTTTGAATGAGAAAGAAGAGCCTCTCTCCTGAGCTCCAAGTTCTTGGTTTTGCCCACCCCACCACTCTATCCAGTCTTGGATGTAAATAAAGTTAATAGGGAGAGAGAAATAAAAGGCCAGACATGGGAGCCTCGGTTCATTGACCTGCACAAGTGCTGTGTGACCTTGCTTAATCACAGCTGGACCCACAAGCTGATGTCCTTTGCTGTCCTAGCAGAGCTGCCAGAAGGCAGCAGAATAAAGAATGCATGGTGGCTCCTTTGCCACAGACCCCAAGATCCACCATTTGCATGCTCGGGGATGCTGGGGCTGGTGGGCAGTGGTCCTGGGTGGATGGGTGGGCATTTCTGTGGAGATCAAGAGTACTTATGGATGAGGGTAAGGTGGGCCCCCTCCTGTATGAAATCTGACCCAATGAGCTCAGCCTGTGGTTTCAGATGGCACAGTCAGATCTGTCTTTCTAAAGTATGAAGGTTACAGCATTGGAGACAAGAAAGACTTGCCCTATGAGGTTGCCCCTGAAATGACTCTTGAAGCCAGAGGAGCATTTGGTCGCTGAATTTCACATAAAGACCTGGTCTTTAGAATGTAACCATATTGATAAGAGAAGAATGCGTGTACCAAGTAGTTTAAAATGGGAAAAGGTGTGTATCAGGGTTGTATCCTCTTAACCTACGTATTCAATCTGTATTCTGAGCAAATAATCTGAGAAGCTGGCCTATATGAAGAAGAGTGCAGCATCATGATTGGAGGAAGAAGAAATAACAATCTGTTATGTGGAAATGAAACAACCTTGCTTGCTGAAAGGAAGAGGACTTGAAGCACTTACTGGTAAAGATCAAAGACTAAAGCCTTCAGTATGGATTATATCTCAACATAAAGCAAAAACCTTTACAACTGAAGCAATGAGTAACAATGATAAATGGAGATAATACTAAAGTATCAAGGATTATATTTTACTTGGATCAACAATCAATGCTCGTGGAAACAATAGTCAAGAAATCAAACAGTGCACTGCACTGAGTAAATCTATTACAAAACACTGCTTCAAAATCTTAAAAAGCAAAGGTGTCTGACTCATTGAGACTATCACAAGGGTAAAGGTGAAAGTTTTGTAACAAAAACAGGGGAGTAGTTAATCTTACAGTCCAGAAACAGAGGGCCCTAGGACCATCAAGGGAGAAGAGCATAAGCAGAATGCAGGACCCTATCCAGAGATTATGCATGTTTTATACCTTCTATTTTGGCAGGAGTTTGTCTCCAAGGACCCACTGGAGACAGTCTCCAGGAATCACAGTCAGTTTCACAAGCCTATGTACAATAGAAGCTGTATGGTTACTCAAGTCAAAAACTTAGGAATCATCCACCATTTCTGCTTTCCTCATTTCTTAACTCTAAATCCAACCAAATACAAAGGCAAGTCCTGTTTTCTTCATTTTCAAAATATATCCAGAATGCAAATATTTCTCACCATCATCAACCGTATAGGCTTTAACCAACCCACCATTATAACTCTGGACTACTGCCATAGCCTTCTCAAGATCTTTCTTCCCTATTGTCTGTCTCCACAAAGTATCCAAAGTGGTTTTTACAAAATGTAAAGCAGTTCTTGTTACTCCTCTGCTTAGACATCTTTCACTAGTTCACATCAGAATAAAATATGAAACTTGCCCTCAAGATCCTACATGACCTCTTCCCTGTTTACTTCTCTGGTCTCGTCACATTTCTGTCTTCTCAAAATATCAAAGCTTGTCCCTGTCTGAGAGTCTTACCATCCATTATTCATTCTTCTTGAGAAGCTTTTACCCCAAATCTTTAGGGTTGTTTACACATCTTCCCTGACTGGCTTTCTAATGTAGCAGCAACTTCACTTCCAATAGCTTTCTATCTTTGCCATACATTATGTTCTTTGGAGCATTAACACTGTCTGAAATATTTTCTAGTAACTTGTTTTATGTGACACTGTAGGATAAGTGCTGCAAAGTCCATGCTTCAAACTCACCAACTGCTCCTTGACAACACTTAACAAGAGGCTTGCTATGAGTTGGGAACCTACTTGACAACACTTAACAACAGTAACAACTTGCTTATATTCTGACTCCTCACTAGGACGTAATTTCCATAAGGGTAGGGGTTTTGTTTGCGCTGTACTTCCCGTACCTAAATTGAATCTGGCAATAGTAGGTGCACAGTAATTGCAATGAATGAATAAATGAAATATTTATTCATCAATTCCAAAGAGTGAAAAATATTTTTTAGTTTAAGAAAGTGTAATAAATATGTTACTTGAGATGACTAATGACAGTTTCTGATGTTGTCAGAAAATCTGGCTTTGCTGGAAATTATGTCCTAATATGAAATGGTTTGACTTTTTTTGTTCTTGTTACAGACATTTTTTTGAGAGTCATAAGGAAAAACTGGATACTATCTCTAATTATGAAAAAGACGAATTCCTGCAGAAGATAGAACAGGTAGGCAGATAGAAATGATAACTTTTAGACTATAATTAGATTTAATTTTTAAATGAATTTTTTACATATAGCTGAGAAGTGTGAAATGTTGCCAAAGTAGGTTTTTTAGGAGCCCTGGTGTGGCACTGTGGGCTAATGTGTCAGACTGCAGTGTCTTTTGAACTGCAAGGTCGGTGGTTCAAACTCACCAACTGTTCCTTGGAAACCCTATACAGGGTCACTATGGGTTGAAATCGATTCAACGGCACTTAACAACAACAACATTGTAAGATAAATATACTGGATTGGTAACCTCAAGGTCAACAGTTCAAACCCACCAGCCTCTCTCAGAAACCCTGTAGAGGGTTGCTATGAGTCTGAAGCCACTCATTGGCACACAACAACAATAATAATCATGATTGTTAATAGTAATTGAATGAAATTTTTACTTCTTCTCAAAGTATTTTAAGCATACAACAGAACAAAGGTTCTCTACAAAACATATAGAGTGATCTTTACAAGATGTAAATCAGCTTCCCCCCCCCTCCCCCAATCTTCTTAGACATCTTCCACTAACTCACATCAGAATAAAATCTGAACTCCTACCTTGTTGGGAGGGAACAGTTGCTGGAGAAGGATGTCATGCTGGGTAAGATGGAGGGTCAGAGAAAAAGAGGAAGACCCCTAATGAGATGGATTGGCCAGGTGACATCATTGATGGCGTCAAGTGTGGCAGCAGTAGTGAGGTTGGCCCAGGATTGGACATTGTTTTGTTCTGCTGTGCATGGGGTTGCTATGAGTCAGTTCCGACTCAATGGCACCTGACAACAACAACAACCTTGTCCTCAAGACCCTATATGACTTTGTCCTGTCTACCCCTCCAACTCCAACCTCTTCCATGTGAAGATGAATTGGGTTCTAGTAACTTTTATCTGAGTATAGTAGTTACCATGAAAAATATTCATGACTAATTGACACTTTCCATGTGAATTAGAGAAGTTAGGACCTTCTTGCTGCTGTGTGTCTCTAAGAAACATAGAAGCATAATTCATGTTAGTGATGTACTGGAGTCATATTTAGCCCCCAGGAGAACTCCCAAGACATTTTTTTAGAGTTAGATTCAAAGAACATCATAAGTAAGTAATCGTGTGTGTAAACCAAGATTTAGTCACAAGATATTTAGCGAAGCATTCATTATAGTAGTGAAGAATTGGGGGTGGGGGAGTGGAATTGGGTAGGGAGAGTATATCAATAGAGTCCAAAAAAGGGGCTTTGATTAGATAAGTAATGGTATTGCTCACAATATATTGTTGAGTGACGAATTACTAAATTATAAAACAGTATATATATATGGGGACTATTGATATGGTGCTGTAGGATCAGCACTGGACTGCAAACCACAAAGTAGGCAGTTCAAACCCACCAGCCACACTTTGGAAACTCTATACATCAGTCACTATGAATTAGAACCAACTCATTGGCACTTACAACAACAAAAATGTATAAATGGAATACATACGGAGACATACAAAGACATAGGCATGCCTGATACAGCTGAGATTCTATGTGGCCCATGCATGGAACATGAAATGCCCCAGAAGAAAGCACTGTCTGGTCCTACTCTATCATCATGAGTGTTACGTTTGAGCCCATTCTTGCTGCCACTGTATCAGTTCATCTCATGAGGGTCTTCTTTTTTGTTGACCGTCCACTTTTCCAAGCATGAAGTGCTTCTCCACGAACTGATCCCTCCTAACAACATGTTAAAAATACAAGAGACGAAGTGTCACCATCCTCGCTTCTTAGGAGCATTCTGGCTGTACTTCTTTCAAGACAGATTTGTTTGTTCTTCCAGCAGTTCATAGTAGGTTCAGTGTTCCTTCTCAACACAATTCAAATGCATCAATTCTTCTACAGCCTTCCTTATTCATTGTTCAACTTTCACATGCATATGAGGCTATTGACAATCCCATGGTTTGGGGCAGGCAACTTTACTCCTCTTGATATGTTTGCTGTTGAACACTTTAAAGAGGTCTTGTGCAGCAGATTTGCCTAATATATGCATCATTTGATTTCTTACTGCTGCTTATATGAGCATTAATAGTGGATCTAAGACTTCCAAAGAAGTCTTTGACAAGTTCCATCTTTTTTTCCCCATTTATCATAATGTCATTTATTGATCCAGCTGTGATGATTTTTGTTTTCTTTATATTTAGGTGCAACCCATACTGAAGGTTTTACTTTTTTATCTTCATCAGTTAAGTATGTCAAGTCCTCTTCCCTTTCAGCAAGCAAGGTTTTGTCATCTGCATATCATGGGTTGTTAATGAGTCTTCCACCAATCCTGATGCCACATTCTTCTTCATATAAACCAGGCTTTCAGATTATTTGCTCAGCATACAGACTGAATGTTGTTGTTGTTAGGTGCCAACCCATACATAGTGACCTTATGCACAGCAGAATGAAACACTGCCTGGTCCTGGGCCAACCTCACTACTGTTGCCACGCTTAAATCATTGATGTTGCCACTTGGTCAATCCATCTCATTGGGTTGGGGTCTTCTTTTTTTTCTCTTACCCTCCACCTTACCAAACATGATATCTTTCTCCAGTGACTGGTCCCTCCTGACAATATGTCCAAAGTATAAGAGATAAAGTTTGGCCATCTTGGCCTCTATGGAGCACTCTGGCTGCATTTCTTCCAAAACGGATCTATTGGTTCTTTCGGCAGCCCATGGTACTTTCAATATTCTCCTCCAACACCATAAC